TACCATTTTAATGTTCAATCTGTCAGACACTGCAACACAAGGGTATCTTGGTACAGACCTGCAATCAACTTCGACAACTTCCACTAGTGAGAGGGGCTGGGTTTGAGAGGGACCTAACCTTTCAACATCTGAGTTCTTACCTCTCCTAGTGGCCTACGTCTCACCTCCTGGCGCTATAAAAGCTCCATCCTGTCACTTCTTCTCCATATTGTTTCATACTATGGAACAATGCTCTTCTCCAGACTGAGGGACTGACCACCTCAAAACTTTAAGGGTGATGGACTGATTACATCGTCTTCAAGTATCTTCTGCTTCTATCAACTTTTCTGTACTTGACTGAAGAAGCCTACTGTGTAGGCGAAACGTTTCATAATAAAGATACCTAACTGTTGCATATGTGTCTTACCTAACAACCTGTCGGTATTTTATACCATTTTAATGTCCAGACTGAGGGACTGACCACCTCAAAACTTTAAGGGTGATGGACTGATTACATCGTCTTCAAGTATCTTCTGCTTCTATCAACTTTTCTGTACTCGACTGAAGAAGCCTACTGTGTAGGCGAAACGTTTCAAAATAAAGATACCTAACTGTTGCATATGTGTCTTACCTAACAACCTGTCGGTATTTTATACCATTTTAATGTTCAATCTGTCAGACATTGCAACACAAGGGTACTCTTGGTACAGACCTACACTCAACTTCTCAACCTCTACTAGTGAGAACGGCTTGATTGAGAAGGACCTGACCTCCCAACATCGAGTTCTCTACCTCTCCAGTGACCTAGTCTCACCTGTTGGCGCTATTATAAGGCCATCCTGTCACTTCATTCCATATATGTTTCATTCTACTGGAACAACTGCTTTTTCCATACAACTGAGGGACTGACCACCTCAAAACTTTAAGGGTGATGGACTGATTACATCGTCTTCAAGTATCTTCTGCTTCTATCAACTTTTCTGTACTCGACTGAAGAAGCCTACTGTGTAGGCGAAACGTTTCAAAATAAAGATACCTAACTGTTGCATATGTGTCTTACCTAACAACCTGTCGGTATTTTATACCATTTTAATGTTCAATCTGTCAGACATTGCAACACAAGGGTATCTTGGTACAGACCTACACTCAACTTCTACAACCTCTACTAGTGAGAACGGCTGGATTTGAGAAGGACCTGACCTCCCAACATCTGAGTTCTTACCTCTCCTAGTGACCTACGTCTCACCTGTTGGCGCTATATAAAGGCTCCATCCTGTCACTTCATCTCCATATTGTTTCATTCTATGGAACAATGCTCTTCTCCAGACTGAGGGACTGACCACCTCAAAACTTTAAGGGTGATGGACTGATTACATCGTCTTCAAGTATCTTCTGCTTCTATCAACTTTTCTGTACTCGACTGAAGAAGCCTACTGTGTAGGCGAAACGTTTCAAAATAAAGATACCTAACTGTTGCATATGTGTCTTACCTAACAACCTGTCGGTATTTTATACCATTTTAATGTTCAATCTGTCAGACATTGCAACACAAGGGTATCTTGGTACAGACCTACACTCAACTTCTAGTTAGTTTAAGTTAGTTAGTTTAATATGTTTATTATGCACCCCATACCCATCCTGTGGGCGGTAGTCAAAAGATTACAGAGGTACATAATGGGTCCAGGGACTGGGCCTCAAAGTTTTGATAGCTGAGCAAGCTACAGAGGCAATGAACTCACAATTTACAAAGGTAATGAACTCACAATTTACAAAGGTAATGAACTCCAGGTAGGTCTAGTCACAATCATTACAAGTTACAAAGGTATTTACAGATTACAGAGGTACACAATGGGTCCAGGGACCGGGCTCCAAAGTTTTGATGGCTGAACTAGGTACAAGGTAATGAACTCACAAGTTTACAACCTCTACTAGTGAGAACGGCTGGATTTGAGAAGGACCTGACCTCCCAACATCTGAGTTCTTACCTCTCCTAGTGACCTACGTCTCACCTGTTGGCGCTATATAAAGGCTCCATCCTGTCACTTCATCTCCATATTGTTTCATTCTATGGAACAATGCTCTTCTCCAGACTGAGGGACTGACCACCTCAAAACTTTAAGGGTGATGGACTGATTACATCGTCTTCAAGTATCTTCTGCTTCTATCAACTTTTCTGTACTCGACTGAAGAAGCCTACTGTGTAGGCGAAACGTTTCAAAATAAAGATACCTAACTGTTGCATATGTGTCTTACCTAACAAGAAGGATCCTCAGTAACATCCCTCGTTCAGTTATATGGATGCGGTACGTTGATGATATTTTGGTCATTGTACCCAAAAATCTTGACGTACAGGGCATCCTCAACACCATCAACACTCTGGAACCTACTATTAAATTTACACTAGAGGAGGAGAAGGAAAACCAATTACCTTTTCTCGACGTTCTCTTACGCACAGGGGAAAACAAACTTTATTTTAAAGTCTACCGGAAGCCTACCTACAAGAACGATCTTCTACATTTCTTCTCTCACCATGACACAAGAACTAAAAGAGGGGTAGTTATTGGCTTCTTTCTGAGTGCCTACAGAATTTCCAGTCCGCAGTTCCTCGAAGAAGAATGTACATACATCACCAACTCTTTTAGTTCACTACACTTTCCCCTACACTTCATACGTGACTGCAGGAAACGTGCGACACGTATCCTCAGCAAGACCAACACCTATCAAATAGAAGAAAAGCCTCCAAGTTACATCGTTTTACCGGTCAGCAACGTTGCCACTAATGTTTCAAAAATGTTTGACAGAAAACTGGCTAAAATATCTACCAGCTCTTCAACTACCATTAGGAACCTGATACAAAAACCCAAGCATGATTCTGGCACAAGTGCAGGAATCGACACTATACCATGTGGGGGGTGTGACAAAGTATATGTAGGGAAAACAGCCAAAACTCTGGACGCATGTGTTCAACAAAGAGACAATGTTGGACACCTCATGAAATTCAATGAAGCTAAACTAGTTATTAAAGAAGACGACTTAAGACGGAGAAATGCATTGAAGCTGCACTAATTTCTGTCAGTAACACTATAAAGCAAAAATCCGATAGTTACAGTATTTCAAAACTACTAAGCAAGAGGATATTACCCATCCTGGGAACTGGTGTTACTTGATGCCAGCAGGTCCCTCTCTAGCCTCACCTCCTTAGTTCCATTACTACTACTACCACCTCTACCCACGCGTCACCTCACCTGACTCCTCCCACTATATATATATATATATATATATATAATATATATATATATATATATATATATATATATATATATATATATATATATATATATATATATATATATATATATATATTGTGTGTGTGTGTGTGTGTGTGTGTGTGTGTTTTCTTAGTTTTCTCTGTATTAGGACTGAAGAAGTCACTCGTGGCGAAACGTTTCCTTTAATAAATGTCCTGAACTGTACATAAGTGTCTTTTCCCACATCTGACAGGATTGTAGATCAATCTCCTTTGTATGGACTGATGAAGCCACTGTGTGGCGAAACGTTTCCTCAATAAAGATACCCAAGAGGTGCATATGTGTCTAACTTATCAACGTGTCGGTTCTCTGAACCATTGATCTACAATCCTGTCAGACACTGCAACTTCTTGGGATCTTAATACTTAGGAATTCTTCGCTTGCCTAACCCTTGGGCACGACTTACTTCCACATTGAACAAATGTGACACCACCTATGACTGCTGCACCTCTCCTGCCTACGGTTTATAAGCTCCTCCGCACTTATGCCGTATTCTATTCAAGACTGATGGACTGACCACATTGACTCAAGGCTGAGGGACTTATTACCTCATTCTCCTCCTGTTCTTCAAGATTCTCCTTTGTATGGACTGATGAAGCCACTGTGTGGCGAAACGTTTCCTCAATAAAGATACCCAAGAGTTGTTAGGTAAGACACATATGCAACAGTTAGGTATCTTTATTTCGAAATAAAGATACCTAACTGTTGCATATGTGTCTTACCTAACAACCTGTCGGTATTTTATACCATTTTAATGTTCATACCCAAGAGTTGCATGTGTCTAACTTATACATGTCATCTACCCTAATTAAATAACAAAAAAAGGCACAATACCGTGACTGGAACGATACACAAATAACCCGCACATAGAAGAGAGGAGCTTACGACGACGTTTCGGTCCGACTTGACTATGTGTAAATGGTCTAAGTCGGATCGAAACGTCGTAAGCTCCTCTCTTCTATGTGCGGGTTATTTGTGTACCTACCCTAATTGTATACTGTACAGTACTCCACTTCATAGAAATAAAATTTTGTTTGAATGAAACCTGATTCTTTCCCATTTTCCAGGCGATGTATAACCCTTACGTGTTTAGTGCTCCCCATGAATCAAATAATTCTCTCACAAGTTCATTTATCTACAATAAACATTACAAAACATATCCGTCGTTCTCTCAAAGCAAAGAGGAACTCAGAGTAAAAAAAAAAATACACCGTAGTAATAATACGAGATAGAAATGCAGGGTAGAACGTAGTAATAACACGCAGCAGCAGTAGTAGTAGTAGTATAGTAGTAGTATAGTAGTAGTAGGAGTGGGAGGGAGGATCCGCCTGAGTGACGTAAAGCTCCTTTGTCAATGTGAGATGCAAGACACAACACGACACCCGTGTGAAAGTTCACCCTACTTCTCCTAACTGCTGACGCCTCCACGGGTGCTGTCGCCTCTCTCTCGCACCCACCCACGCTCCTGTGTGTCCTCGCCACCCTCAGGAGCTCCCAGCACGATCTGGAGAGGCAGAGAACCTGAGAAATAAGGTCAATGGCGGAGTTTCAGGTCCGCGCTATGGCTGACGGGGGCAGTCCCGAAGACCTGCCCCAGAGAGGGAGAGTCACTGAAGGTAAGATGTTGCTTTTATTTCTTTAGGTTTTCTTGTGTATTATTCGCATTTCTCACCTGTGTTATATTTTTTTTAACTTCTGTTGTTTAGCTGTATGTATACACATTGAAATACGTATATAATTTAGCGACACTAGGAAGTGATAATTTTTCAATGACCTGCAATCCTATAGTTTCCACTGGAGTGTTGTGAATGCATTCTTAATTGAGTATCAGAATCAGATTTAAATTCAGACAGGTAGATAAAGGGAACCCTCTATATTTTGAGTGGTATATTACTGGAAACAATATTACGTTCTCTGGGTCATGAATATGTCCAAAATCATGTTCTCACTGGTTGATAATGAGGTCAGCATTATATTGAGCATTAGGTAACCAAGTTAGCATTACTTTCTACTTATTTAATGAGGTCAGCATTATATTCTGGTTGGCAGGTAACTAGGCCAATGTTACTTTCTAATTACTGCAGTTAACAAGATCAAAATTATATTTCTTATTGATACATATCCAGGCCAGCATTATGCATGATTTTAAATAGAAGATAATTAGGTTAGCATTGTTTTCATTGGTTAATAATGAAATTAGCATTACCCTTTTAATGCTTGATAACCATTTTATCATTACACACTAAACTGTACCATTTTATGTTGCAATCTTTCATTCTGACAGCTGTTGTAATAAGAATGATCATCGTACTTCAGTTTCTTGTCTATATAACTCCCTTCATTTGATTTTTTTGAGTTATCGCAGGTAATTTACACATACGTATGTTACTTTGATAAATGTAATCGCCTAAATTTGCATAATTGTACTTAAGTGTAACTGCACCTAAATAAACTTTCTTATTACCTATTCTATAAACTATTTTAAGGTATGTTTAATCTCAAGTTGACCCCAAATGCTCTACATAGCTATGAATTTTTCTGTGTATGATAAACTTTTATATGATGTTTTACATTGTGACTGATAATGAGGTGGGTATTGTAAAGTCCCCTGTTCTTGTGTCAGGAACACAGGCAGACACCTTAAGTTTTCCTGCAAATCTTCAAGAGCAAGAATATGCTTATGTGTGTTTCTTTACTAATTCCTCAACCAGGGTCCAGAATGTCTTGATTTAAGTTTTGTCAAGTTTAGGAACTGAAGCCAGTATAGTATTGGGGAGAGTGAACACAGTTTTTAGGTTATACCCACAAAGGTGGACATTGGCCAGGGTTTTCTGATCATGTCAAGGCCAGTTTTAGTGTAAGAATTTTAGAATAGATTCTTGTGGCTCAATTCATTACCAATGGATAATGGGTGGCCCCATGGCCTGGCTGGCAATGCTCTTGCTTCACACACGAAGGGTCCGGGTTCAATTCCCGGTGGGGTAGAAACATTTCGATGTGTTCCCTTAGACCTATTGCCCTGTTCACCTAGCAGCAAGTAGGTACCTGAGTAACAAAAAAAGGCACAGTACCGTGACTGGTCCAAGTCAGACCGAAATGTCGTCATAAGCTCCTCTCTTCTATGTCCGGGTCATTTGCGTAATGTACGTACCTGGGTGTTAGTCAACTGGTATGGGTTGCATCCTGGGGGACAAGATTGAGGACCCCAATAGAATAAGATAGTCCTCGATAATGCACTGCCTTTCTTGGGTTATCCTGGGTGGCTAACCCTTTGGAGTTAAAAATCTGAACGAAATCTTATCTTAATAACATTAACATGATTGTACTGTACTAAATGCACTTACCTATGTACAGTACTGCTGTTTTATGAATGAATTATTATTACACAGAATTATTGTTGTTATTATTAATATTACAGTAGTATTTAGGTATTATTACTGTATTATCAGGACTTGAAATGTACTAAAAATGTTTCCAAAATCTGTATTATTAAACTCTTGTAAAGGAAATATCTTTCTTTTCTCCTGTTGAGTAAATTTTATGCTTGCTTTTGTAGCTTACTGCATGCAAAACAAACTAACCACCCACTACTTAAAAGTGAAGCGAAAAAAAATTTCTCTCTGTGAGGAATAAGTGGCAGTACTGTATGTACTTTTACAAACTGCAGTATTTATACCATATCCTTAAAATATATGGTTGAGGGTTTGATGAATCTTGTGCATTTGATACTAAAATAATATTGCACCTCAGTCAAGATTAATATTCTCTACGAATATTAATGATTTTAACCATACGTTAAAATCAAGACTTGATCTTATTTTTCAGTTTGTCGAGAGTGGCTACTGCATGAAGATCAAGCCTTGGCCTACAGGCTACAAAATGAAGAATGTAAGATGTCATTGTATTTAGTGATACAAGAAGTCTTAGAAAATCGTACAATATGTGGAAAATATTTATACGAGCATGTGCTTATAGAAGTTATTGGTATTGTCTTAGGTTATGAGAGTTATTGGTAGGCATTTGCCAGGTTCATTAAACTATTAAGTAAGCCTAAGAGAATAATTGGTAGATGTTTTCAAGTTCATTGGATTATTATAAACAATCTGTGGCATGAACCAGCCTGAGGCATAGGGAATTTTCTCAGTTTAGATTCCCAGTTACAAACTAGTGTCATTAGATCCTCAAAGAGATTTTGAATAGGTAATCCTCTTCATACATTTTGCTCAAGTCTTAAAGATTTTAAGCATATGAATGAGTAGTAAACTGCCTGTAGCTTATTGGATTATACATAAGAGCAGTTGATCTTCTATTCAAAGTGCGTTATATTTAAAATATTGGTGAAATTATATTATATTTTTTTTATTTATTATATGCCTCTTTACAATTTATGTTTGAGGCTCCAACTTATGAAGTATTTTTGCTTAACAAGGCATTAATATTTTATAAATAAGTTTTTATTATACAACCTAATAGGCATTTTTCAGTTGATGAGTTGCTACTACTATAAGTTTAACAGACTTCTTTTTTTTATGATCTTCCACCATATAGCTTAATAAGTCTCTCTTACTTGAGCCTCCATCATACATCTTGTATTGCATTTGTTTGATAAGCCTCTACTATACAGCATTATAGACATTTTTTTAACCACCACTATACAGCTTAACTGGCTTTTTTTTTAAGCCTCCACTATACAGCTTATTGGGTATTTGTTGTTTTAGCTTCCATCATACAGCTTAATAGGCATTCATGTTTCAGCCTCCATTATACAGCTTAATAACCATCCATGTTTTAGCTTCCATCATACAGCTTAATAGCCATCCATTTTTATTCCTCTATTACAGCTTAATAGGCATATATGTATGTACAGTACTGTGAATCTTATATCATACTGAATTACTACTCATGTTTGTGTATCCCATTTTTTTTATATGCTATTTGTTTGGTTATACGTATCAGCATGTTGACTAAAAAATTTAAGAATCAGTGAGTATCGGCTAACTTTGATGTTATTCATGCTTGTATCAGTGGGCATCTGCTGATTTTGATGGTATCAGTATCAGCCTAAAATTGAATATCCGTATCAGCAAAGATTTTGATATTGTCCCATCCATATCTACAATATGCATGTTAACCATGCCAGATGGTTTACCTCTGTGTTTTGTCTCTTCATTTCTTATAATTAGTATACAAGCAAATAATTTTTTTATAAATGAATTGAAGCAGGAAATACCTATTTTTAAATTAGCCATACATATGCATGCATACACACACACACACACACATGCACACCATTTATAACCTATAGGTATTTTGGTTTTTATAAGCCAGTTCAACAAGGTCATAACTATTTTGCTAGTATCTTCTTAAACTATATCAATCTTTCATTGTGATTCACCATTAGAATCTATGAACTGTCATTGCTACCACAAGCCAGAATTGCATCATTTATTTATACTGTATAATAAATGAAATTCAGGTTAGCTATAAAAAAAATCATTAGTGTTAGTGAATGTGTATAAATTTGTCCAAAATATCTGTAAAGGTTATTATATTTTATCACTTACAGATCAGACCCACTTACTCACTAACCGTGAAAGGAACCAATTGCTGCGTCAAGATACTCCTAAGGCTCGAGAAGAGCAGATGAGAGAAGACCATGAAGCTGCCTTAGCTCAAACTGCTTATGAGTTGGCTCTGGCCCAGCAGTGAGTAGTCAGAACAAAATGACTTGCATATGAATTGTAGTAAAGAGCTTTGAGAATTTTTTTTATTGTGCTACAGCTTTGTATGTTCTCCTTTAATGCTTCATAACTATTATAAATTTTGATTACTTGGCATTTCTTCCTTTTTAAAATGCTATTGTCTAAGTCTTTTGTTCTTGTTTACTGTTTGCTGCTTTATCTGGCTTCATTATAAAGTTGGTATTTTGAATTGGCTTCATTGTGACTTTCTCAAATGATGCTGTTGTGCACTTTGAATATCCTTGTGTTTTAACCTCCCACCCCACTCCACCTGTCACACCCAAAAAGAAAGAAAAAACAAATTTCATCATCATTCAGCACTTTCACCATCACTCATACATAATCAGTCTTTGCAGAGGCACTCAGATACAACAGTTTAGATGTCCCCCCAAACTGCCAGTATCCTAAACCCCTCCTTTAAATTGCAGGTATTGTACTTCCCATTTCCAGGACTCGAGTCCAGCTAACTGGTTTTCCTGAATTCCTTAACAAAATATACCCTGCTCACACTCCAACAGCTCGTCAGGTCCCAAAAACCATTCGTCTCCATTCACTCCTATCTAACATGCTCACGCACGCTTGCTGGAATTCCAAGCCCCTTGCCCACGAAACCTCCTTTACCCAAGATATCAAATGATTTAGATGAAGAAAAATTGGATATCAAATTGGGGAGGAGGAGTATAGAAGTGAATGTTTTCAGATATTTGGGAGTTGACATGTTAGTGGATAGATTTATGAAGGATGAGGTTAATCATAGAATTGATGAAGGAAAAAAGGCGAGTGGTGCATTGAGGCATATGTGGAGACAAAAAATGTTATCTATGGAGGCAAAGAAGGGAATGTATGAAAGTATAGTACATAGTACCAACACTCTTATATGGGTGTGAAGCTTGGGTTGTAAATGCTGCAGCAAGGAGGTGGTTGGAGGCAGTGGAGATGTCCTGTCTAAGGGCAATGTGTGGTGTAAATATTATGCAGAAAATTCAGAGTGTGGAAATTAGGAGAAGGTGTGGAGTTAATAAAAGTATTAGAGGGCTGAAGAGGGGTTGTTGAGGTGGTTTGGTCATTTAGAGAAAATGGATCAAAGTAGAATGACATGGAGAGCATATAAATCTGTAGGGGAAGGAAGGCAGGGTAGGGGTCGTCCTCAAAAAGGTTGGAGGGAGGGGGTAAAGGAGGTTTTGTGGGCAAGGGGCTTGGACTTCCAGCAAGCATGCGTGAGCGTGTTAGGAGTGAATGGAAAGGAATGGTATTTGGGACCTGACGAACTGTTGGAGTGTGAGCAGGATAATATTTAGTGAAGGGATTCAGGGAAACCGATTATTTTTATATAGCCGGACTTGAGTCCTGGAAATGGGAAGTACATTGCCTGCACTTTAAAGGAGGGGTTTGGGATACTGGCAGTTTGGGAGGGATATGTTGTGTATCTTTTTAAGTATATGCTTCTAAACTGTTGTATTCTGAGTACCACTATAAAAGCAGTGATTAAGTGTGAGTGAGGTGAAAGTGTTGAATGATGATGAAAGTATTTTCTTTGTGGGGATTTTCTTTCTTTTTGGGTCACCCTGCCTCGGTGGGAGACAGCCAACTTGTTAAAAAAAAAGAAACATATGTACACATACATACATACATACATATTGTTATTCAAAAGCTGTTTTGCCAGATGTGTGCAGACATCACAACTCAAATGTGACCCTCTGTAATATAGCATCTCCGCACCTTCAGAGTGCAGGTACTGTACTTCCCACTTTCTCAAGTCCAGCTAACTGGTTTCCTGAATACATTTATAAATGTTGCCACTTCATAAAAGCCACTTATCTCCACTCAGTCTAACTCCTTCACACATGCCTGTTGGATGCTCATGCCTTTAGCACTCAAAACCCCTTGTATCTTCTCCCTGCAGCCCATCTTTGGATGACACCTGCTCCTTCTTTCCACCTCAGGTTTATAGTGTTACACCCTGTTGATTATCCTATTTTTCATCCTCATTAAATTCCCAAATCACATCAACAACCTCTCCTCAGCTCTCTAAGCTATACTTTTGGTTGCTCCACTGTCTTTTAACTTCTACACTCCAAATTCTTTGCATAATTTTCACACCACACATTGCTCTCAAATAATGCATCTCCACTACCTCCAACCTTCTCCTCACTGCAACATTTAAAAACCATGCCTCACACCCATATAAAAATGTTGATATTTTTGTACTATGCTACATTACATTTTTCCCTTCCATAGGTAAGCTTCTTTCTCTTTACAGGTGCCTTAACACTCTTTTACCTTTTCCCCCCTCATCTCTGTTTTATGGTTCACCTCATGTATCATAGACCCATCTGGCAACATATCCACTCTCAACTATCTGAATACATTAATTTCCTCAATGCTCCCTCCCTCCAATCTGGTATCCAATCTTTCACTGGCTAAATATTTTATTAATCTCATTACCTTGCTCTTTTCTATGTTCACTTTTAATTTTATTTTTTTTTTAAACATCCTCCAAAATTCTTCCATCAACCTTTGCAACTTATTTACAGACTTTCCCCAAAAAATATTGTTTGCATTTAGTAAATTAAAATATCGTCAACATGTCTTGTAATGTAGTTGGTGTGTAGTGTCTCCATGAAAATCCTTTGTATTTAAATAACCTGTATAGCTACTAAAGATTGGAAATGGTTACACTCATTATGTTTCCTTGTAGTGGTAAACTGGGAAGATTTTTGAGAGTTTATGCATATATGGTATTGGGATGTTCTACATGAGTTTCATGACTAATATGAAAGTTTTCAGTTTTTTGTACTTAGCGCTGGTGCTATTGTATATGGTGCTTGAAAAGTGTGTGGTTCTTTTTCTTCATTTCAGCAAACACACTACATCTTTGCAAGTATTACACTTTGCACAGTATTACTCTAAGAATTATGTCTGTATCCAGTATACTGTTTCTTACTATTCATGAAGGCAGCAAGTTCAGAACTTCATCCATTCAACCTCTCGAGTACAGCTTTTCACATATCCTTATACAGTATTACAATATTAACCCTTTGACTGTCGCAACCCCCAATCCTGAGGTGTCTCCTGGTGCCGCAAAATTTAAAAAAAAAAAAATTATTTTTTCTTATGAAATGATAGAGAATCTTTTCCCGATTGTAATGACACCAAAAAAAATGAAATTTGATGGAAAACTGAACAGAATTATGCTCTCGCGAAGTTAGCGACCTTGGCGCTGTTTACAAATCGGCGATTTCACCCACTTTGAGCCCTATTTTCGGCTAATTCCATTGTTCCAGTTGCCCAAACTCATAACTATTTCTTTAGAACTCCATTTTTCTCTATTGATTGAGTACAAGAAACTGCCCATTTACCGATTTCAACTACCTGATAATGTGGTCAGAAATTTGCAATTTGGCCAATTTCACGAAAACTAAAAAATATGACAATTTCAAAATAAGGTCCAGAATGAACAATGCAGACATTCCTGGCTCTAAAATAACATTTTCTTTGCTCATCAGTCATGTCTCCAGGCCCCTCTGATATTACTCTTGCTTTCTATTTTGAATTTTTATTCAAACAAAAAATAGAAGACTTACTATTATGCAGACTACTGCAATACTGTAATAATTGTATAAATAACATCAACCCATTCATGACTGCATATTAGAATGGCTAATTGGACATTTATTGGACAATGGCATCATTTGTTTACTTTTGAACATTGGTAAAAATCAAACATTTCCCCTACTTTGAGCTCCATTTCTAGGTTCTTTTTATAGTAAAATCAATCAAAATCACCTCTATTTCTATAATATGTTTTCCATTCTATCAAATGAGACCAAGAAAACGAGAATACAATCATAAATACTATACGAAAATAGACCACAAAGTCGGCATTTTAATTAAAAAAATCAGTCTGAGTTTTTTTTTCTCATTATGCACTGCGTGCTCCAGGATTTTTTTTATATGGTGCACACTGATCACACAGACCCATTCTCTCACATGTGGGCCTACCAGCTTTCTCCTGCTTGATTTGAAGCCACTAGAATTTATGAGTATATATACGTCAAACACGGTACCTCGTAAGACGTATATATACGGCCGCGACAGTCAAAGGGTTAATACCTGTGCACTTCTTTTCTAAATTTATCCTTCATAACTCTCTATGGACATTGTTCACACATTACTGTACTTTAATTCTGTGCTTCACACTCGGTATGCTATAAGTACACAGGTGTGTCGTGAAAAGCCCATGGCGTGCTGTAATGCTTTCATACCTCAAGAAAAATTGTCAAATATTATTGTTAGTGTTAAGATACCTTTATTTTAGTAAGTTGTTGTTTCTGAACTATAGTAAGGAAGTTATAATAGCTATACGGGTTGACCATCACTAATCCAGCACCATCGGGACCTGTAGGGTGTAGGATTAGTGATTATGCCAGATTACAGAGTAGTTAGGTTAGAATACGCTTAACCCAACGGCGATATTTACACATCAGTGATTTCATCCACTTTACACCCTATTTTTTCACCCATTCCATTGTTTCAGTCTACCAAACTCAGAGCTATTTCACTAATATTCCTTCTATTCTGTCTTTTGAGTACAAGAAACTACCCATTTACCTAGGACCTAAACAGGCCAAATCAATCCAAATTCTTCTCTATTATTATTATTATTCAACTACTCAATAAAGTGGTCAGAAGTCGGTAATTTGACCAATTTCAAACAAATTTCAAGAGATGCCAATTTCAAAATAGGGTTCAGAATAAATAATGCAGACATTCCTGGCACTAAAATTACATTTTCTCTGTTCAGTAGTCATGTCTCCAGGCCCCTCTTACATTACACTTGCTTTCCATTTTAAATTTTTATTCACACAAAAAAATAGAAGATTTACTGTTATGTAGACTATTGTAATATTGTAATAATTGTATAACTAATGTTAACCCATTTGTGACTACGTATTAGACTGGCCAGTTGGACATGTATTGGACGATGATGTCATTTGTTCACTCTTGAACATCGGCAAAAATTGAACATTTCTGCTACTTTGAGCTCAATTTCAAGGCACTTTCCGTCGTGAAACCAATCAAAATCATATCTGTTTCTGCAATATATCTTTCATTGTATCAAGTGAGACCAAAAAAATGAGAATACAGCCATAAAAACCATACAAAAATCCCCCCAAATTCGCTGTTTTACAGCAGAAACACTTCGCAGTTTTTTCTCATTATGCACTGCTTGCTGCAGGATTTTTTTTTATACACCTACCATCCGACTTACAACCTGCTCGACTTACGACCACTCGACTTACGACCGTGTTTTTTATGCCAAATTTCTGGGAAATAAACAACTATTTGTGTTGTACACAGTATTTATCCTAAACTTTACAGTATAAAATACAGTACTAACAACATAAAAAGTAAAGTAAAACACGAAATACCAAAATAAAACAATAAAATAAAGTCATTACAAAAATGTTTTGTTGATATTCAGTAGTAATTGGAGGCCTGGTCACAGACCGGGCCGCGGGGGCGTTGACCCCCGGAACTCTCTCCAGGTAAACTCCAGTAAAGTTCGACTTACGACCATTTCGACTTACGACCGGTTTCTCGGAACCGAACTCGGCCATAAGTCGGATGGTAGGTGTGTACAGACCTATTCTCTCATATGTAGGCACAAATTTACCGGTCATAGCTTATCTGAGTGAGCTGAGCTCATGGCAACTAAAAGTGGCTTCAAAGCCACCTTATCTTTTATGGTCAGTGTATGGTGTATATGCTTTACACATCGAGAAGCATTTCTTTTATTGGTTGGAACCATGGCTAGAGCTAAAAGTGAGCAGGTTATAACAGTAAATGGAATAAAAGAAATTGGAATGACTTATGCAGCAAGTAACGCCACCAAGTAGTGGCAGGTTGGTATGGCGGTCCCAAAAATTTGAAATTATGTTAGCCGAAATTAGTGCCGGATTAGTAATGGAGCCGGATTAGTGATGGCCAACCTGTACTCTGTTGAAACACATTGCATAATATAAAAGCATGTGTTTGTTCATTCACTAGCCACTGGTATGGCTAATAACTCTACCTTACCACCTTACACATAAATATTCAAACTTGATAAAGTTTAAAATAAAAAGTGTGTGCTATAATATATAGCCAATTTTTGGTATGGTATACATTATATGAAGGATGTTTTCACTTTTTATCTCATTTATTTTCCAAATGTAATATAACAGATAACATTTACCAACTTCAGTATACAGTACATTTATCTTTACTTTCATGTGTGAGTCTTAATAGTTCTTATTCCTGTAATATTTATTTTCTAATTTAGGATGCCAAGTCTGAGACTGGGCCACTGAGGCAGTAATACTCAAAAACCATGAATAAATATAACATAGCAGCCATGATGATAATATATACATGCTTACGTCTAAGCTGATCCTACTATTATTGATCATTCAGTTTCAACAGTTTTGATTACTGTGAACATTTGTATAAATAGTTACTACTTTGATATACGTAGTACTTGAAAATCTGATTTCTGGATTGGAAAATGAAGCCATTTAATGGGTACATTGAAGCCTGTTACTAGTATTCATTATATACTGATTTTTTTTATTTTTTTTTATTATCACACTGGCCGATTCCCACCAAGGCAGGGTGGCCCGAAAAAGAAAAACTTTCACCATCATTCACTCCATCACTGTCTTGCCAGAAGGGTGCTTTACACTACAGTTTTTAAACTGCAACATTAACACCCCTCCTTCAGAGTGCAGGCACTGTACTTCCCATCTCCAGGACTGATATTCACTGATATTCACTGATATTCACCCTACCTCGGTGGGAGACTGCCGACTTGTTGAAAAAAAAATAATTCACTCTTATGTACCTTGCTCATGCTACAACAGTATATCAAGTCATTATAACTAATCGTCTCCATTCTGATCTAACACTCACAGACACGCCTGCTGGATGCTTAGGTACCTGCCACTTAAAACCTCTTTTTGTATCTTCCCTCCCTCCAACTCTTCTAAAAACTCCTACCCCTTTATCCTTCCACCCCAGACTTATACACTCTCTTGATCATCCTATTTTGTTTCATCCTCTCTAATTGCTCAAACTACCTCAAAAAAAAAAAAATCCGTCCTCTGAATCAATACTTTTTGTAACCTTCACGACATGTCTTGGTAAATTTTGGGCACCCTGCTTATTTTTTATGCCACTTATTCCAGCAATATCCTTACTTTCTTTCAGCATTTTGGTTTTAATCCCATCCACTCATGCCTATTGTCACTTTTATGTATATTTTAACATGGGGATATGAGCCAAGTTTCCAAATTACTCTAGGAATTATAGTACACTGTAAAAGTTTTTTATTTTTTTGTGCTGCTGGAGCCACACATGTTTAGCCTCATCTGTGCATTGCTTTCCAAGTTATTTGCTTGGTGTATTGTGTGGGAGGAAGCAAATATCTTGTGCATTGCTTTTGTTGTGGGGTTTGTGATTTGGAAATTGTTGCTCAGGGAAGCTCGCGATGCAGACTTGGCAGCTAATTTGGCACAGAAGCTGAATGTTCAGGACCTGGAGAAACAGAAGCAACAAGAAGAGCAAGATATGCTGTATGCACGCAGTCTGATGGTCAGTTTGTAGCTGTTTTTTTTTTTTTTTACAATTTGCCATATGGTAGTCTTACTCCATTGGTTATCTTCAGAAGAGATGCTTAGATTTCTAATTCCTTTTAACAGATTGTACTTGACTTATTGTTTATTCATTTATATGATTTTTGGCTTAAGAATAAATTTTCATTAGCATTCTCATGGTAATATGAATTAATACATGTCTTGAATTAAATTTTAGCACACAATTTTTTTTTTTTTTGTACTGCACCAGCAATTTTATTTTTTACATTTAATTTGACCTACCATCTCACCGTAGTTTCTTACCAATTCATAAGTCATATGGATTCCTTATAAAGGCAATAATTGGAGATACATGCAGTATGAGTACATCTTTTCTTTTAGGAAAGAGAAAAAGATGCCATACGGCAAAGTCGAGAATTGCGGCAAGTGGAAAGAGAAGCTGCATACCTTGGCATAAACTCTGGGAGTGACAATGTGGCCTTACTGTCACGCAAAGAACGCAGGTAATTACATTTAATTTTTTCTCATTTGTCAGGTCACATCAGCATCTAAATGTTATTCATCTGTGGAATAGTAATTTTCAGTTTAGTTAACATTATTAAATTAAAATTTTGAGGACAAGAGTATGCTAATTTAGGTTTTCACAGATTTAACCCTTAAACAGTCCAAATAGATCAACGTTCAAATCTGCAGTGCTCCAAAAGTAGATCTATGTCTTTTTTTACATATTTTCAAATATAACAAAAAAAAAAATGTAGATATAAGTTTTTTTTACACATTTTCAAATGTAAAAAAAAAAGATGTACATTTTTTACATACTTTTAAATGTTGAAAAAACGTATATATACGTTTGGACCGTTTAAGGGCTAACTCTTAATATTACAAACATAAGAATATTACTTCTACAGTGAAACTTGTTAGGCATTATCACTGAACGTTGATATTGTTATGTCTTCAACAAGGACTATCTATCTTTGTACATGAAAGCTGAAATAAAACTTTTTTTTTTTTTTCCCTGTGTAAACAAATCCCTAATTATTTGGTTTCACTAGTTGATCTCTGATGTTGGTGGAATTGGTTTTTTAATAAATTCATATGGTTTAAAATGTAGTGAGGCATAAATAAGGTGGGTTGGAGATGTGAGGTGGGAGAAATGCAAAGATATGAGGATTACTATGCAGTAGTTATATGTTATACAGGTCTCCCTCAACATTCACGTTTTCAGCTTTCGCGGGCTTCACACATTCGCGAATTCCCAACCGCCAAATTCCCAGCCACCAAATTCCCAGCCGCCAAATCATATTCAAGTTTCCCGCCACCTGCGAGTCCCTACTACCCTCCCACCGACCCCCGCAACTGGCAGCCAGCCCTCCCACCACTCAGTGTGGTGAGTGTTTTGTTTGTTCATTATTTGCTATTAAACTACAGTATAAATAATGTAAACCCATTCATGACTGCACATTGGAATGGCTATTCGGACAGGTATTAGATGGTGACATCATGTGTTTACTCTTGAACACAGCAAAGAATCAAACATTTCTGCTACTGCTAATAATAACAATAGTAATAATAATAATAATAAATACGATATAATTGAAGAAGGAAGTTGTACAAAAATACGAGGGAGTGGTTGACACATCGTCAGTGTGGCTTTGTTTATGCTGGAGTGAGCATTAGTCTCCGTGCTCTTCCAAACATTTCACAATTCATTGTGTTTGGTGCTTGTAGATTGAGTGCGACTGGAGTGGTAGAGGCAGTGGTTGAGGCAGCTGTTGAGGCAGCGATTGAGGTAGTGGTTGAGGCAGCTGTTGAGGCAGCGATTGAGGCAGTGGTTGAGGCTGCTGTTGAGGCAGCGATTGAGGCAGTGGTTGAGGCAACTGTTGAGGCAGCAATTGAGGCAGTGGGTGAGGCAGCTGTTGAGGCAGCGATTGAGGCAGTGGGTGAGGCAGCTGTTGAGGCAGTGGTTGAGGCAGCTGTTGAGGCAGTGATTGAGGCAGTGGTTGAGGCAGCAATTGAGGCAGTGGGTGAGGCAGCGATTGAGGCTGCTGTTGAGGCTGCTGTTGAGGCTGCTGTTGAGGCTGCTGTTGAGGCAGCGATTGAGGCAGTGGTTGAGGCAGCTGTCGAGGCAGCTGTTGAGGCAGCAATTGAGGCAGTGGGTGAGGCAGCTGTTGAGGCAGCGATTGAGGCAGTTGTTGAGGAAGCGATTGAGGCAGTGGGTGAGGCAGCTGTTGAGGAAGCGATTGAGGCAGTGGGTGAGGCAGCTGTTGAGGCAGCGATTGAGGCAGTGGGTGAGACAGCGATTGAGGCAGTGGTTGAGGCAGCGATTGAGGCAGTGGTTGAGGCAGCGATTGAGGCAGTGGGTGAGGCAGCTGTTGAGGCAGTGATTGAGGCAGCTGTTGAGGCAGTGGGTGAGGCAGTGATTGAGACAGTGGTTGAGGCAGCTGTTGAGGCAGCAATTGAGGCAGTGGGTGAGGCAGCTGTTGAGGAAGCGATTGAGGCAGTGGGTGAGGCAGCTGTTGAGGCAGAGATTGAGGCAGTGGGTGAGGCAGCTGTTGAGGCAGCGATTGAGGCAGTGGTTGAGGCAGCGATTGAGGCAGTGGTTGAGGCAGCTGTTGAGGCAGCGATTGAGGCAGTGGGTGAGGCAGCTGTTGAGGCAGCGATTCAGGCAGTGGTTGAGGCAGCTGTTGAGGCAGCGATTGAGGCAGTGGGTGAGGCAGCTGTTGAGGAAGCGATTGAGGCAGTGGGTGAGGCAGCTGTTGAGGCAGTGATTGAGGCAGCTGTTGAGGCAGTGGGTGAGGCAGTGGTTGAGGCAGCTGTTGAGGCAGTGATTGAGGCAGCTGTTGAGGCAGCGATTGAGGCAGTGGGTGAGGCAGCTGTTGAGGCAGCAGTTGAGACAGTGGGTGAGGCAGCAGTTGAGGCAGTGGTATTTAATAACATACATGTTATTAATAATAATAATACATGTTATTAATAATATGTACTATTATTATTTATAACATATATGTTATTAAATACCACTGCCTCAACCGCTGAATTATTGTGAAATGTTTGGAAGAGCGGGGAGAATAATGCTCACTCCAGCATAAAAAGCCACACTGACGATGTGTCAACCACTCCCTCATATTTTTGTACAATTTCCTTCTTCAATTATATCGTATTATTATTATTATTATTATTATTATTATTATATTTATTATTATTATTATTATTATTATTATTATTATTATTATTATTATTATTACTATTGTTATTATTAGCAGTAGCAGAAATGTTTGATTCTTTGCTGTGTTCAAGAGTAAACACATGATGTCACCGTCCAATACCTGTCTGAATAGCCATTCCAATATGCAGTCATGAATGGGTTTACATTATTTATACTGTAGTTTAATAGCAAATAATGAACAAACAAAACACTCACCACACTGAGTGGTGGGAGGGCTGGCTGCCAGTTGCGGGGGTCGGTGGGAGGGTAGTAAGGACTCGCAGTGGTTGAGGAAGTGGTGGAGTCTGTGTTATTTAATAACATACATGTTATTAAAGCATAACATGTATATATTTAGTACAATTTACGACGTTTTCATGTATTTTATGATTGTTCATGGTTCAACAAGTTAAGGAACCAGTATTGTAATATATTTCCCTACAATATATTGGGGCACCAAACATTCACAGTTTTTCAACATTCACAAGGCTCTTGATCCCCTAACCCTCGCGAATGTTGAGGGAGACCTGTATAATATATAAATAGAATTGTTATCCCGTTATAATTTTGTAGAACGTATGATGGAGGATTACCGGGTATTAATAAAAACACAAATACTTTTCTTTTTAACTTTGTGCTGTAAAAACAGATTACTGTGCTTCACACTCATAGAATTTTCTGAATTACAATTTTTTTTTTTTTAACAAACCGGCCGTATCCCACCAAGGCAGGGTGGCCCAAAAAGAAAAACAAAAATTTCTCTTTTTAAATTTAGTAATTTATACAGGAGAAGGGGTTACTAGCCCCTTGCTCCCGGCATTTTAGTCGCCGCTTACAACACACATGGCTTACGGAGGAAGAATTCTGTTCCACTTCTCCATGGAAATAAGAGGAAATAAACAAGAAGAAGAACTAGAAAGAAAATAGAAGAAAACCCAGAGGGGTGTGTATATATGTGCTTGTACATGTATGTGTAGTGTGACCTAAGTGTAAGTAGAAGTAGTAAGACATACCTGAAATCTTGCATGTTCATGAGACAGAAAAAAGGACACCAGCAATCCTACCATCATGTAAAACAATTACAGGACAGTAGTGTACCTCCCTGGGCGGTTGCTGTTTACCAACCTACTACCTATGTGAATTACAATTACAAACAGGATATTCTTTAGGGAACGTGACATGAATGGCACAGTTGGAAGTGATCGATCAGCACATAGTAATGCAAGTGCAGTTTCATCGGATTTGTCCGACTTGAGTGACTTTTGCCTGCAGCCTACAGAGGACATGGATGAAGAGGAGCAAAGGGCTCTACAGGAGGGACAAGATGCTGTGAGTTTAAACAGTATATCACATGATCATGATGTTTATTTTCTCTTTAGAATTTTATTACAGTGAAAAAATATGAGAAACTGTTTAATGCACAGTACTGTATATGAATGAATTTGGATTGTAGAATATTTTCAGTGAATATTTTTTTTTTTTTTTTGTGGACTATGAGACATCCATATTAAATATCTTTGCTTGCAATATATACTATATTTAAACAATACCTTTAACAGAGTTACAAGAGTAACCAGAAATCCCACCAAAAGGGACATTGGAGATAACATTAAAAGAGCTCTGATTATTGGTAGCTGTGTATATCTTTATAGAATTTTTAACACATTGGCTGTCTCACTGGGGTAGGGTGATCCAAAAAAAAGGAGAAATGCATCAGCGTTATTCATTCAGTCGTTGTCTTGGTAGAAGTTTGCTGACATCACAGTTTAGATGACCAACTGTACTGTGACATCCTCACCCTTTCTTTAGAGTACAAGCACTGTACTTCACACTCACAGGACTAAAGTCTGGTTAACTAATTTGACTGGATCCCTTCATAAATATTTAGTTACCTTGCTCATACTCCAACTGCAGCATGTCAAGTCAAAAAAAAAAAATCTCTCCCTATTCCAGTCTGATGTGCTCACACAAGCCTTTTTTATATACAGTCTAATTTTTGTAAGTGCCTACCAGTTTTATGGTAGACACTTGTCTGTATAATTTTACTCCAGTGCCACTCTTGGCAAAATTAAAAGTTTGTGTGAGGTGACTTGAGTCAAAGCACTTTTTATATAAAATTTTGATTTATTTGACTTAAAAGCTTATTATATTGATGACATTGGCATGAGCGATGTCAAATTTGGGTGCACGCGAGCACAACTAATTTACAGGAGTTAGCCCGGCTACTTCAGGAGCAGGATGGGAAGAGGCGTGGAGACCTCCTCCACCAGGACCAACTTTTGGCCATCGAGGCGCAGGACAGAGAGCTGGCCAAGGTGCTGCAGGAGCAGGTGTGTAGTGAGCACAACTCTATTTAAATTGTACGTATGTCTGATTTCTTCACTCTCTGGGAGTTTCCATCCTCAAAAGGAGGTCCACATGCAGAACCTTCCTCAGATAATTCAGATGCCTTTGCAAAACTTTACTTTTAAAGTAGCACCTGACATACTTGTAAAATATTATACCTGCAGATTTGTCTTAAAATCACTTACAGTACTTACAATGAGAAATAAAAATGTGAGAAAAGAATGAAGATTGACCTATGCAAGTATGTACAAGTGAGACAGTAGAAAGGAATGCATGAGCAATGTGAAACGAGAGAGAGCTTAGATAAAAATATCTATTTCAATATTAGAGTGGCTCTACAGCACTAATGTAACTAAAGGAACTAAAGAATAACACTATGAATGAGGGAAGGGACATCTACCCTTCATTTTATTTGCCCCATGACAGTACTTCAGTGGGACACTTAAGTCCAACCAATTGCACAATAAAAAATATAGTTTTAAATGCAAAGTGCTGTGCATAAAAGTGAAAGATCTCAACTGGGAGGAGTTGGAGGGTTTTGTGTGTTTGATGTTTTGTGTGTAAAATTTATATTTTTAGTATTGTTCCATTGAATTGGGAATCATACCAGACAAAAGATATGTATGGCATGGTTATTAACTTTTACTTTTTATATGGGGTTGTTCCAAAAATTTGACCAAGAATAAATATTTGACATTTCAGGAACGAGCTAAAGCTAAAAAAGCTCGTGAGAAGGCTCGGCAGAAGGCCCTTCAGAAAAAGCAGTCTCAACTTACAAATATATCACCAGAATTCTTGCCTGATGCCTCTGGACCCAGTGCTCAGGTTTGTTTCTACAATGCCAGGGAAATATAGACAAATGGGAGGTGAAACCTAGATGAAGTTATGGTCCATCTTGAGGTATTATCAATATTGTCTGAATTTCATCTCCAAGATGTATGTTAGTTATTGTTTTAATCACAATATTGTAACTTTTATTCTGCATATATGTTAATTCTTAATGCTATTCACAGTGATTTTTATTGTCCTTGCAGATTGGAAGAAGCAGCAACTCACCTATAAGATCATTATCAGTATCCTCTGACCAACCTGGACCATCTAACTATTCCCACCAAGAATCTCCTGGATTTACAGACTATACAAGATCTAGCCCTACCTACATGTCTCCTAGAGAGGATGCGGATGTAGACTGGCAGGATCCTCGAGGGAGGCCATTGCAGAGACCTAACTCGCTTGACTTGCCTGGCACATCACACTCATATGCTGTTTCTTACCAAGAAAAATCAAAACATGCCCATCATCAATTTCCTTTGGGGAAAACCAATAAACCAAGGTATTCATCATTGTAATAGACCTAATAAATTAATTCTCTATTATTATAATCATGGGGGAGCACTAAACCCATAGGATTATACAGCACATGTGAGTGGGGGATGGAAGGTATTCAGGCTCAATTCAGGGAACTGGAGCACAGATCCAATTCCCTAGATCAAGAGCCCCTCACCACCATCCTTGAGGAGGATGAATTCTATAGCTCTTGCTCTCTGCTCTTTTATTTTCCTCTTTTTTTTTCTAAGTTCTCTGCTCTCTCTTATCTTTCATTTTCTCTCCCTTTTCTCCTTTCTATTTGGTGTAATGAGCAACACGTATAACCATTAATAAATTCAGTGTACAATCTTTCACCATATCATTGTGAGATTACCCCATATTTTGCTCTTACTCATACATTTTCATCTACCCATGTTAAGAAAATATTTAAATGAGGTTCCTAGAAGCCATTTATGAGTCTTCCATTTTAATACTGTACACATTTAATGCTGTTATTTGCAGGCTTCCTGACCCTGAAGCTGCTGCTGTTGAATTGACAGGAAGCAGCAGCAGCAGCAGCATGGAACGAAGCCCGGCAATGGGATTCACCAACATTGCATGTGCCATTGACCCAACCTATCAGCGTCGAGTGATGAGGGGAGAGCTGACCTCACCCCAGTCATCGTCGTCGTCATCTTCATCTAGTAGTGGTACAGGAGGTTTGACTGGAGCTTCAATTGCATCCCCAATCTCACCATTGCCACCTCCAGGTACTGTACTTACTCTTAGTTGAACAAATGCTATCTACTAGTATCTAATTTGTCAGTTGAACTTACTGCTTTGTCTCAACTTATTTGGGTGGAAAGGTGTACTAAACCACACTGAGAACTAGAACTAAATCTTTGTCAAAACTCCATTTGAGTCAAAGTGTTCTAGAAAGAATATGACTGCTGGAACTCTGTGAAAAATTTACCTAGTGTAAGACAGGAAATCTGTAAATGACAAGGGAGACTGGAAGGCCTACCTATGAATGTCATTTGATTTTGTCACATAATGTTACCTAACAAGATTTACATGATGGTGCTTCATAAGGCTTGTGTTTATTAGCCTGGTAGGTTTAGTGCTTCCCCTTGATTATAATAATTTTGTTTACTAGTGAGTGGGTATTAACATGACATGTTGTGATAGTATATTATGCTAGTTTTTATTTTTAGAAGTTAGTGTTTATTGGCAATATTTCATCTCGATACTTTGTCTAATTTATGATTTGCATGTTGTACATGTATTTTACAATAGGATAAGAAAAACAGACATTGGTAAGGACAATTGTTCATTTGGTTTTTACTGCAATGTGTCATAGAAATTTTTCCTAAGATTTTTCACCAGTTAGGTTAGACAGATCATAGGTTCAGGAAACCTTTCAAGTGTTCAGCTGTATAGTACCTAGATGATCACAGTTCTAGTCTCCTGTATGATGATATGGTGATTTGTTCTTTTTGGAGCAAAGCCCCAGCAATAGTCATATATTAGAGTGACACCCTCATAGATCATATACAAATGGGGAAGTAAAGGGAAAGAATCATGAATGTAGGCAAGGAGATGGATACAAAAATAAGAATATTATTAAAGAGGTATGAAGCACTCATACCATGGAGGAAGTAGATGATGTGTTTTCTTTGATAATTCTTTTCCTTTGGTTTTGGTCTGTTGCCAGTTGATGTGTTATCTGTATCCCCAGTGTGCTCTTCCACTGCATATTTTTTTCCATATACTTTTGTCTTTTCCCTGTCAATCTGCATTTGCTCATCTTTATGCCCATATTGCATGTTCAGGATCATATCAATTTGCACCTTTCTGTCCTTTTACCATATGCAAGTGTGCATTTAATCCTACTTCATAATTATAGTGTTCAAATTTTCCTTTGATTATTATGGGAGGGCCAGTAAACCTTTATTTGAGCTCAAGGGCACAGAGTCTAAGTCAAGGTATACAAATGGGTGAAGCCGTCTTGAAGACGGTTCTCTAAAAATACACCAGTGGTAACGTGTTTTCCAAATTCAAGGATAAATTACTGTTATTATTTTATTATTATCACACTGGCCGATTCCCACCAAGGATAAATTACTGTTGACCATCTTATTTAAAATACTTACTGAGACATTTCTTGTTCTTTCAATATACGTATTCTTGTGTCTAGGTGTAAGCAAGTGGTGACTTCATTATCCTGTTAGTTAAAGCAGGATCTTGTAGCAATTGTATGCAGTTTATTTGTTTAGAAAAGTATCTTTATGAAGCCACTAGGTTTAAAGGTGGCAATATGAAAAAAGTGCAGATAGGCTATTGTTTTGTTTGTGCATATATAAAGGACATGTATGCCTCTTTGCAGTTTTTGACGATGATGATGATTACCCTGTGCCACCATACATGCCCATCCAAGGTCAGCGGCGCACTGCTAGTTTAGAGAAGAACCACAGACTAAAACCACCAAAGGAGAAGTCTAATAGTAAGGATGGCTGTAAGCAACAGTAGTATATTTGCTTCCAAACCACTGTTTACATTGTGCTCTTCCAAACATTTTGCCATTTGCTTGTATATACAGTGAAATATAGTTCATCACAGTTACATTATGTATTATGTCATAGATGGCACTGAGATGTGACTAATTATCCATACACACTTGTGCTGTATACAGGTTTGTCAGTCATCATCATGAGTGTAATATTAACAATTAGCTGAAAGATATCAAGGAAATATGTGACACATTGCAATTATTTGGTAAATAGATGAATAAAATGTTATTGGGTGAAAAAAAGTATTGAAACATTATGGGGACTGTGCAATTCAGATCTGTTGGCAATTTTTTTCCCATGTGGATTATAAGAAACACAGTTGCTTATTTTGGCAGCATTATAAACCTACTTCTTTATCTTGAGGTCTGAAAGGATTAATTTGTCATGCCATTAACTTCCTGCTTTACTGCATTAGTGTTAATGATTTTTGTATTGGCTTCACTAGGGCCTTGGGAAAAAAGGTGGCCTCAATTTTTACATTTGAGTTGGGAAAAATCTTGCTGAAGTCTAGTAGTTTCATTGAGCTATAGCACCATCTTAATTATAACCAAAGCATTCATTCCTGAATCTCAAAATGTAATATACAAATATATATTTATAGATATATTTTTACTCCACCAAAAGTTAGAAGTATAAGGAAGAGAAGGTTAGAGTAAGTGGGATTTCCTACATAGGTTCAGTTAGGTCATGGGACCAGTTTAGGAGTTCTTCTCACATGGCATGCATTCCATATGGGATGTGGGACCAGGATTTTTTCTTCAATATTTTGTACGAGATGTGTGAATTATATTCAGTCTGTAGCCCCAATTAAACAGTACAGTACTTCCCATTTGAATATTGTGCTTTCTAATTTTCTGAACTGTGAGTGCATGCTAATGGTAGGGCTTTATAGTATATTAACTGCTAAGCATCATTTTTTCACTGCCAATGGGCTGATCATATATGGTTGATCAAAATGGATACTTGGGTTCCAGCCTGATTGAAAGTTAGTATTAAGATTTATAATATATTTAAAATATTAAGGTTAATACTGTCCTGTGCAGTATTGGATTATGCAGCTTACCTTCCAATACATCTAAGGAATTAGATTACCTTAACATACATAAATATTTAAAGGATAGTTCACCAGTTTTGTTCATTAGAGGAACTCGCATGTTTCTAAAACACTTTTTATGAAAAGTTCAGAGATGGAAACACTTTGACAGAAATGTATTCAGTCTTGTTAAAAGTTTTGTAATTGAGTTGTTGATTATTAGGGTATTGGTTAATTGTGACACACATATTGGGCATTTTACTATGTCTTTGTAGTTACTGGCATTTATACAGATTTATCTTTGACCTGTTCCTTATCCAAAGTTTGGACAAATGGATCTCGAATATGACCCATTTCTGGCATGTTCTGTTCTGTTTTAATTTTGCCTAAATCTTCAAACATCAATGGGCACAGTCTGTCCTGCCATGACATGTCATCTACCACTGATGTAGAGTCTGGTGGTGGTCACGCCTCAGTCAAACAACTATAGTTATACACCTGACCTACCACAACACTTCAGCCACAACATAGTAGACATAGTCTGATGGTGGTAATGCCCTGGTCACATCACATGACCAATGCAATATGTCAGCTGGCATTCAAGTGTGTTGTGGAGGTGGTGGGATGATTGCTGATGTTTTTTTAAACTTTTGCTCTCAGTCAGTGACTTTATTTTATGGTAGTAAAGCAAGTTTGCATTAAGTGATGCATTCTTACAACAAAGAAGTTAGTTTAACCCTTTGACTGTTTTGGTCGTATATATATGTCTTACAAGCCACCGTTTTTGACGTATATATACTCATGAAATCTAGTGGCTTCAAATCAAGCAGGAGAAAGCTGGTAGGCCCACATGTGAGAGAATGGGCCTGTGTGATCAGTGTGCACCATATAAAAAAATCCTGCAGCACACAGTGCATAATGGGGAAAAAAAAAACTCCGACCGTTTTTTTTTTAATTAAAATGCCGACTTTGTGGTCTATTTTCGTATAGTATTTATGGTCTCATTTAGTATTTCTTGGTCTTGTTTGATAGAATGAAAAACATATTATAGAAATAGAGGTGATTTTGATTGGTTTTATTATGAAAAGAACCTTGAAATGGAGCTTAAATTAGGGGAAATGTTTGATTTTTGCCAATGTTCAAAAGTAAACAAATGATGTCATTTTCCAATAAATGTCCAAGTAGCCATTCTAATATGCAGTCATGAATGGGTTGACATTATTTATACAATTATTACAATATTGAAGTAGTCTGCATAACAGTAAATCTTCTATTTCTTGTTTGAATAAAAATTCAAAATAGAAAGCAAGAGTAATATCAGAGGGGCATGGAGACATGACTGATGAACAAAGAAAATGTTATTTTAGAGCCAGGAATGTCTGCATTTTTCATTCTGGACCCTATTTTGAAATTGTCATATTTTTTAATTTTCGTGAAATTGGCCAAATTGCAAATTTCTGACCACGTTATTGGGTAGTTGAAATCGGTAAATGGGCAGTTTCTTGTACTCAATCGATAAAAAAACATGGAGTTCTAAAGAAATAGCTATGAGTTTGGTAGACTGGAACAATGGAATTAGCCAAAAATAGGGCTCAAAGTGGGTGAAATCACTGATTTGTAAATATCACCGAGGTCGCTAACTTCGCGAGAGCGTAATTTCGTCAGTTTTCCATCAAATTTTGTTCTTCTGGTGTCATTACAATCGGGAAAAGATTCCCTATCATTTCATAAGATTTTTTTTTTTTTTTTTAATTTTGCGAAACCAGGACACACCTCAGGATTTGGGGCTGCGACAGTCAAAGGGTTAAATATTAGGTGAAGTGCAGGTAAAAAATGTCCCTGAATGCACCAAGCCTGTTATTATTTTTCTCCTTGAACCAAAAAATAGAATCTTAAAGGTAATCTTAGCAATCTGTCTGTACTTATTTAATGTCTTGTATGTTACGTATTTTAGTTGTAGAGATATGAAATGTTACACGTACCTTGCTCAGGGTAAGAGGTAATGCACCAGGAAAACTGGTGTTAATCCAATGTGTTCTAGCAGTAATACTACACACTAAGCTATGTCTTGGATGCCTTGTTCCCTTTAGGAATGCCCATTCCTTCAGGGAGTGGCCTTATCTAATATCTTCCCACACACTTCTGTCACCAACATGTATTAAGACTTTAAAAGAACAACAATTGGAATATATACTAAAGAATGTCATGTGTTTTTAAAATTGCTGAGACTGTTTAAAACTCGAAGGCTTTTAGGGCAAGTAACAAAAATTCACTTATTATAGCATTTAATGTCTTACTGGGTCTTTTGATTCAGGTCACTCACTATATTGTATCACATATGACATACTCATATGTTTGCTACATAAGGCTTCCTAATTTAAGTATGTTAATGTCTTATACCATATTATGAATTAATTTAAAAAATAAGTGAAATGTAATGCTGTATTCAGGATGGTTATCTGTAGATATTGAAACATTTGTATTTTTCTTACTAGCTATTTATCCAAATTGTGAAAAGTTTTCTATATTTGTTTCTCATAGTGTACAAATTAAATTATGCTTAATCACTTCCTGGAGGTAGGAAGGACAGTGCCTGTATCCTGAAGGAAGGGTGGAGATGTTGCATTCAAATGGTCATTCAATTTGTGATATCTGCACACTTCTGGTAAAACAGCTATTAAATGATGATAATGATTTTTTTCTCCAACCTTGATGGGAGATGGCCAGTGCATTAAAATAAATATTTTAATTTAATTAGATTTGTTATATGAAATCTATCCCTAATCTGTCTACCTTCTTTTTCCTCTCTTCTTACCCACCCAGTCCATCCTTGTCACACTATACAAACACATTACAACAGAGAAAAATGTTAGGACATATGGGGTTTTGCCAATCACAGAAAGAGAAAGGGCCAAAAACAGAAGAAATGTACCTCTTACAATAAGAAAATAAGCATTCCTCTATCTACACAAACTGACAGAAGTTACTCACCCCATAGCCACCCCCCTCTCCCTTAAACCTGTAAAGAAACAACCATGAGAAGTTGTGTAAGAATGGTATATAATACCGACAAGATGAAATTAAGACACATGTGCAACATCTGGGTATCTTTATTGTAGACGTTTCACCATCCAGTGGTTTTATCAATACAAATTCTAGGACATAACTTGAAGACAGTAGAACTAAGTACAGAAGATGAGGTAATCAAGTCCCTCAACCTAGGAGTAGGTGCGAAAAGCACCATAGTCGCCACTGGATGGTGAAACGTCTACAATAAAGATACCCAGATGTTGCATATGTGTCTTAATTTCAACCATGAGAAGTACTCATCCTATAACCTCCAACTTAAACATCCACAACCAGTAGTCAGACATCATCCACAAGAACTCTTCCTTGCCCAGCAATAGTCTTCAGTCACTAAACACTCCACAGTATCCCATAAATTTACTCGTTCATCAACTCTGGCAGTTACCACCCTTCACTTACACTAGTATTATATGCTATTCCTTAGACACCTATACACAACTAAAAAGACATCCATACCACCTAGGTACAAACTCGCATACATACCCAAGGCTCCATATGACACCTTTCACTTCTGTACTACCCCTACACCTTCTTCCTTTTTCCCCTCTTTCTTACAAAACATCACCCCATTACTCCCAGGCCCCATCAACTTTACACGATATATATATCGCCCCAAAATCAGACATACACTGGCAAAACGGAAGCATCAATAAAAGTAATGTATACATTCATAGATGGGATTACTTATAAAATCTAGGAATTTAATTTAAGAGAAAAGAAAAAGGATCTGTTCTCATTGCAATTACAAAAGCCAAGCTAACTTTCCTACGGGATTCTGGATAAAATGAGACAATAAAGGTCAGTGATAAAAAAAAATGGGCAGTGTTTGAAGAAATGTCAATTTTTGGCTGTGATAAATTTTTATATTATAAAGCACTTACTGTGTAAAACTGATTCAGTTATTGGAATTTAACCCAAACAAAACAAAGTTATGAAGCTGGGAGAGGAAAGGATAGCAAAAACATAGTACCATAATGACGAGGAAAAGCTCACAGGAAAAAACAAATACACAAAGACCTTGAAAGAACCATTACCCCAAACCTCTTCCCTGATGTCCGCAAACAGAATAACATCAGCAGTAGAGGCTAAGCTTGAAAATATATGACTGACATTAATAAACCTAGACAGATTTATAAAACACATTTTACCTCGTAGTTGTAAGCAGTTCATATATTTGTAGCTCCAGTGTGGAACCCTTGCCTAATAAATACAATTGAAACTTAAGGCAGGACAAACCAGTGCATTAAGACTTTTCCTGAACTGAAGGGAATGAAATAAATAAAGGAAAATGTGAGAATCAAGCTTGAAGAACCTGCAAAATACTGAGGAAGGCATACGGAGTATACAAGGATAGGTTCTTTATGGGAGATATAAAAGAGTAAATTGGAAATTACACAAAGTATGACACATATTGGCAGTTTGGAGGGATATGTTGTGTATCTTTACACGTATATGCTTCTAAACTGTTGTATTCTGAGCACCTCTGCAAAAACAGTGATAATGTGTGAAAGTGCTGAATGATGATGAAAGTATTTTCTTTTTGGGGATTTTCTTTCTTTTTTGGGTCACCCTGCCTCGGTGGTAGACGGCCGACTTGTTGAAAAAAGAAAAAAAATGACACATGGATATCAGAAAGCATTTTTTCAACATGCAAGGGCAAAAGAAGGAGAACGAATTGAACTGTGACACAGTTGATATGGATGGTTAAAAAGTAGATATGACAGGATTAACTTAAATAGGTATACCTGGAGAGGGTTTTGGGGATCAATGCCCCGGCAGCCCAGTCTGTGACTGGGCCTCATGGTGGATCAGGGCCTGATCAACCAAATTGTTACTGTTTTTCTACATCCCACCCATTTCATATGTACTGGCCTTTTTATTTGGTTTCCTTTCATTTTCTTTAAGTAGTTATGGATTCCTTTTTGCTTTTTATTTTAATTTAAAATTTTTCGTGTATATAGTTCTGTGCAAAGAAAATCATTGCACTTTTCTCTAAGGAATGAATCAGCATAGCATTATTGAAACAGAGTAGAACGCTTCATACGGTACTTTTGTTTTTTTCAAATTATGTAGGGGTGAAAAATGCCTTAAAGTTCATGTATGTGTATGTATTATCATTATTTACTTATCAACTTTACGTAATTTAAAAAAATCTGGGGAAAATGGGAATATTGCATATGAAATCCTTTAAAGTAATATTAATGTGGGTCATTCTGTACATGTGTAGCCTTCAATAAATGACTTGAAATTTATTTTTTGCTTAATGGAATCGCTGATAGCATGTAGCCTTAAGGTCACATGGAGCAGTAGCTAATAATACACTTGTTTAAAAAAAATGCCTTATACGTAATCAATTTTAGAATGTTTTGAATTTTCATTTTTATATTTACAGTACATGAATTATGGTATATATTATGCTAGGTTTCAAATTAACATTTATGCCTTATGCAGCAAGTTCTGACTTTGTTAAAATTGTGTTTGCTGTTTTCTTCTCTTAACAAGGAAGTAAGGATCTCATTTTATTTGTTTTGTACATATACTTTACTCAAAGTTGTGAGGCAAGTAATATTTTCTGAACAAAGGCTGGTCAGTATTTTTGTAAATATATTTGTCAAGAGCATAAATATATTCCTTAGCAGGTTTAAAATAGGGAATAAGGAACATTAACAGCTTACTCCAGAAGATGCACAAATACTGTACCTGGAAATAGAAAATAGTCGCTATTACACTCTGCAACAAAATGTAGTTTACAGTATGTTTTGTAACTGTACCTTGCAAATTTAGAAAAGGGATAGATAAGTTACTTACTGTTAGTTTTTTTAATTTTATATGCTGTCATTTCATATTTGTATACATACTGGGGTTTCCTAATGTAGTAAAAGAAAAATTTGCCGTATATATTCATATACTGTACATTTCTTGGAGCATATAGTGACCCTCCATAGATGTTAGGATAATTCTTCATGGTAAAAATATATATTCATACATACGTAATTGTTTTACATGATGGTAGGATTGCTGGTGTCTTTTTTTCTGTCTCATAAACATACAAGATTTTGAGTACGTCTTGCTACTTCTACTTACACTTAGGTCACACTACACATACATGTACAAGCATATATATACACACCCCTCTGGGTTTTCTTCTATTTTCTTTCTAGTTCTTGTTTATTTCCTCTTATCTCCGTGGGGAAGTGGAACAGAATTCTTCCTCCATGAGCTGTGTGTGTTGTAAGAGGAAACTAAAATGCCGGGAGCAAGGGGCTAGCAACCCCTTCTCCTGTATATATTACTAAATGTAAAAGGAGAAACTTTCGTTTTTCCTTTTGGGCCACCCCACCTCGGTGGGATACGGCCGGTGTGTTGAAAGAAAGATGTATATATAGTGTCATGAAATATGAAGGCTTTTATTTATACAATAAAATCATAAACCACTTGTTTTGTACATTAAATTTGGTTATTGTACAATTTGACATTAGTTTCATACAACAAAGTATGTATTATGCAAGTTGTTGATAATGTGGTGGTGGTGTTCAGCTTAGACAGCACCATGGAACACAATGTGAGGACATGCCTCTTTGTGTCAGGCTTCAAGTTTTATATCTGACGGTGTAATTTACAGTATAATCAGCTGATTATTATTATATTAAAAATTGACTTCCATGATGTTCTATCAATAATTCAGTTTGATTACAAGAGATTACTATATTTCCCATTCATTGTTTCCCAAGGAGGTTAGAGGGATGTTCTCCCCACAGAAGATAAGAACGTTGCTTCTTTTCATATACCAAATTGTGCAACCTAGCACCCTGAATTGTATGAGAGTAACTAATGCTATCTAATAAAAAAAAATTGACAATGTAAATTTTTGTTGCAGTAGATTGTGATTTTACTCTTTTGAGAAAACTGGCATCAGGACATTATCTAAGAGTATAATTATCTTATCATATGATTTTTACTTTCTCTTTCTTGGAAGAAGTGCTATCAGGATATTATCTAAGACTATTTACTTTCATTCTGGATTATTTTAAGGCTTGTTACATGCAGGATTGCAGTCAAACGTATAATATTTCATAGGTTACTTTTTTGTTTCTCAAGACATTATTTTGAGCCTTTTTTTATTACTAGCATCATACTAGGCAGCTTGTGTGTTAGTATCTCATATCAAATTATATTATACTTCATTTATTAAAGTTTTAGTCATACAATACTTTATTTTGCAGCCGAAGATCATAATGGGCATCTTAAAAGTTGTATACTTTGTGTTTTTAAGTTTTATAAATAAAATTTTATATATTTTATTGTTAAAATAAAACATTTTTAATATCTATACCTTTTTCTCTTACCATATGTTTTATGAAAGTTTACTGTAGAATTTTAAATCTCTCATATTAACTCGAGTACAGTGGACCCCCGGTTTACGATATTATTTCATTCCAGTAGTAGGTTCAGGTGCCATTACTGAATGAATTTGTTCCCATAAGGAATATTGTGAATTAGATTAGTCCATTTCAGACCCCCAAACATACACGTACAAACGCACTTACATAAACACGCTTACATAATTGGTCGCATTGGGAGCTGATCATAAACTGGGGGTCCTGGAGTTTACCTGGAGAGAGTTCCGGGGGTCAATGCCCCTGCGGCCCGGTCTGTGACCAGGCCTCCTGGTGGATCAGAGCCTGATCAACCAGGCTGTTACTGCTGGCTGCACGCAAACCAACGTACAAGCCACAGCCCGGCTGGTCAGGAACTGACTTTAGGTGCTTGTCCAGTGCCAGCTTGAAGACTGCCAGGGGTCTGTTGGTAATCCCCCTTATGTATGCTGGGAGGCAGTTGAACAGTCTCGGGCCCCTGACACTTATTGTATGGTCTCTTAACGTGCTAGTGACACCCCTGCTTTTCATTGGGGGGATGTTGCATCGTCTGCCAAGTCTTTTGCTTTCGTAGTGAGTGATTTTCGTGTGCAAGTTCGGTACTAGTCCCTCGAGGATTTTCCAGGTGTATATAATCATGTATCTCTCCCGCCTGCGTTCCAGGGAATACAGGTTTAGGAACCTCAAGCGCTCCCAGTAACTGAGGTGTTTATCTCCATTATGCACGCCGTGAAGGTTCTCTGTACATTTTCTGGGTCCACTGTATTTTTTATTTTTTTTTTTTACTTTAGTGCAGCAATTGAGATTTTATAATTTTTTTTTTTTTTTTTACAAGTCGGCCGTCTCCCACCGAGGCAGGGTGACCCAAAAAGAAAGAAAATCCCCAAAAAGAAAATACTTTCATCATCATTCAACACTTTCACCTCACTCACACATAATCACTGTTTTTGCAGAGGTGCTCAGAATACAACAGTTTAGAAGTATATATGTATAAAGATACACAACATATCCCTCCAAACTGCCAATATCCCAAACCCCTCCTTTAGAGTGCAGGCACTGTACTTCCCATTTCCAGGACTCAAGTCTGGCTATATAAAATAACCGGTTTCCCTGAATCCCTTCACCAAATATTACCCTGCTCACACTCCAACAGCTCGTCAGGTCCCAAATACCATTCATCTCCATTCACTCCTATTTAACACGCTCACACATGCTTGCTAGAAGTCCAAGCCCCTCGCCCACAAAACCTCCTTTACCTCCTCACTCCAGCCTTTTCGAGGACGACCCCTACCCCGCCTTCCTTACCCTACAGATTTATACACTCTCCATGTCATTCTACTTTGATCCAATCTCTCTAAATGACCAAACCACTTCAACAACCCCTCTTCAGCCCTCTGACTTAAGTGGTATTGCATGTCCTCACACTTTAGTAGTAATGAAGTGAAACGTGACCCTACTTTTTAAGCATATGATATCCATATTAATATTTGCAGCTTAGAATACGCTTAGGGTATGTTTTATCATTGTCTTTTTATGCTTTAACAATACACTGGCCTTCTTAATCCTTTATATTTCACTGAGTGCTCTTTATCGTATATCATTTTAATTAACAAAAAAAGGCACAATACCGTGACTGGAACGATACACAAATAACCCGCACATAAAAGAGAGAAGCTTACGACGACGTTTCGGTCCTACTTGGACCATTGACAAAGTCACACTGACACTGTGACTTTGTCAATGGTCCAAGCCGGACCGAAACGTCGTCGTAAGCTTCTCTCTTTTATGTGCGGGTTATTTGTGTATCATTTTAATTATTTTTCATATGTAGATTACCATTTACTAGTTAACCTAAATCAGCAAATTTCATAAATTAAAAATATGTTGATATTGAATTTGGCTTTGGAATCTCAAAACAATGTCTTTATTTAGGTCTTATGCCCTTGTCTCAGGCTGGTTTGTGTAAAGCATCATTTCTATGGATTATTCATGTCCCGAAGCTCGGTTGGTAGTGCACTCAACTCACACATTATGTGTCCATGGTTCAATCCCTGGTACAGATGGAAACACTGGCCATGTTTCCTTAAGACACCTGCTGTCCCTAGATGTTAACCGACTAGTACCCAAGCGTTAGCTGACAGGCGAGGGTTGCACCCTTAGGGGACAAAATTAACAAGAGTTGCCCAAAATGCTCTGCATAATCAGGGGCTTTCTATATACTAGTGTGTCACTAATGTCAAATAGGTCTGTATAAGCTGTATCATGTAGAAATAATAATTATTATTATTCAATTATTATACACCTCCCACCTGTTGTCAATATATCCCTATCACTGTCATAAGCGTATTTAGTACATATTTACAGTCCCACTCACATTGCTGAGATGAACTGTTTCATCTATCAGCAGCCAATATCTTTACAACATTGTTTTCTATTGTGATACCTCACTTTGGGAGTTCTCGTTTCATTTTTCCATCTTGGGTAGAAGAATGGTTGCGGTTTGTATTCAGTGTAAGCATTTTGTAGCCGAGCAGATGGAGCTATAGGTTGCACCAACTCATATAAAGGTTAGAGGGGAAGCAGAGATAACTCTGGCTCACTGTAATATGGATAAAGACAAAGATCACTCTGGTTCACTGTAAGCTGGATGAAGACAAAGATCACTCTGGTTCACTGTAAGGTGGGTGCAGGCAGAAATCATAATGACATACGCTGAAGATAAACAGTTTACCCTCTCATAATGCAGGGAATTCGTTCCTAAAAATTAGCGTCGCTGAAATTAATGGTATGTGAAGTGAACATATGAGAAAAATAGGACTCAGTGACAGACCTCCAAATTTTCCCAAAACTTTTTATATAAATATTCTTCTAATTACAAATTACTACAGTCTATGTTACCTTATATGCTAGTTGACATGGATGTGTCTGGAAAAGGATGATGTATCCCTATTGAATTTAGGTGTGTGGCTGTGGTTCTTGAGTTGATAGTTATCCAGAGTTGTCAGTAGTTGATGGTTGTACTGGAGTGCTGAAGTATTCTATAATGCATCCTTGGTTGTTTTATCCTGTAGCATTGATGTCCCTAGCATTCTTTTCACCAAGTCACAATCTGCATTAATTGCACAGGTTCTTATTTGTCATCGTCTCTAATTGCTTGGAATAAAAGTGCAGGTAGTTTGCATCAAACATGCAGTACCTTGAAGCATATATAATATTAATGCTTACTTCATTACCATGAGAGATTCATGCTTATTCTCCTTTTTTGCACTTCCATCATCACTACAGGTGAGAGGGGGGGGGGGGATGTGATGTAAGTATCCAAACTTGTATAACAAACACAGTTAGCAAGGCACATTGTGCTTCCAAAAAGCAACTGTCAGTGGCAGTCTCTCCCCAAACACTTGACCCTTCAGCCCAACCTGGGTAAGTGGGGAACATTTCCATGGCATTGACCACCAAGATTTGGCACGTGAGTCAACACTTCCTTGCTTACTGAATGCATTGTCAAGGCTATTTTCAAGGGCTATGCAAAAAAAGATGCACTTTTTTTAAATATTTAGATATTACACTATACAACATAATTTCATTATACACTACATAAAAGGAATGAGATATTGAGTGTGAGCTTCTTTCTTTTGTATGGAAAAATAATCTCTAACATTCTTACTCCCTTTTCTAAGACTGAGGTATCTTGCTTATATCTGTAATGTATTTTTTTTTTACCTAAGTCCTCTTGAAACTCTTCTATGATTTAGTTGCAGAACCTTCCTCATACAAACATTTAATTTTGAATCAAGTTTCCACCTTTAAATGTTTCACTACCTTTGACTCAGACTCCCTCATTGACTTTTTGACAGCAGCTAATTTACTACACAAACTTTGATGATACCTCCTTTAGCATTCCTTACAGCCCTTTCTAACTCTCCTTCTGTTGTCTTCTCTACCCTTGCTACTCTATGATCCTGCACTATCCCCTGCCCCGCTGCGCTGTATGACCCTTGTAGGCCTAGCACTTCTTTTTGATTAAAATAAATGTTTCATTAGAAACCATGGCTGGTGCTATTGTTCCTATCTTATATACTGTATTGTGTTTTTATATGCAATGAAATAAAGTAGTACATACTAGTAAAATGTGACATGAATAAAGGTTAAAAATGACCTTTAAAACAATTTAAAGAGCAGTATAACATTTGAGAGTAATGCCTGTGAATACAGCAATGTTGAATGAGCCATACCATGTTTGTGCCATTTTGTGAACACACTGTAGTAATTTTGAATAGTCTTAATATAAACTCCATGTTAGTACTTCCATGGAGATCCAGGCCAATTACCCCTCAAAGGAGGTTCTTTGATGCTGGTAAGGAGCTCTTGAGCTAAGGAATTGGATCTGTGCTCCAACTCCCTGAATTAAGCCTGATGCCTTCCATCTCTCCCCTGCCCAGGCACTATAATCCCTACAGGTTTTGTGCTTCCCCCATTATAATAATAATAGGGCCAATTACTTTATTATGCTGTGAAGTATATTTTTGGTATGCCAATCTTAAATTTTGCAAGGGTTATTCTTGCTTATTATATTAAAGGCAAGATTTTAAGACTACTACAGTATTCAGTTATGTGTGCATGCCCAGCCTTGACATTTATATTCCAGAGTAAACTCGATTTTCAGTGTCTATATGCCTTCCACAAATTTAAAAACTTAATATTATTTTTATACATTTTTTGTCTTTCTCACATTATGCTGGAGTATTTTGCATTGTTATTTCTTAGAGTTCTTGCACCTCTGCAAAAACAGTGATTATGTGTGAGTGAGGTGAAAGTGTTGAATGATGATGAAAGTATTTTCTTTTTGGGGATTTTCTTTCTTTTTGGGTCACCCTGCCTCAGTGGGAGACGGCCAACTTGTTGAAAAAAAAAATCCAGATCACTTCTGCATTTAAAAAATTAATATCAAG